GGGTGAAATTCCCATTCAAAATTGTCATCCACCGATGTGGGACTTTTGACAATTTCAACATTTTTTATGTCATTAGTAAGTATTTTGCATGTCATGTATTCTTCTTCGAGTTACAATCTGAAAATCTAACCAAAATTGAGATATAAGCTCCAAAGAATATTTTTAATTATTTGCAATAACACATAGCTTCGAAGAAATGGAGCTAAAGGGAAAGAAAATATGTGAGGTGATTACGAGGGGGGGGGGACAAGCCGTGCATGCCCCCAATGCCCACGCCGCATGCCAGCGTCNTGACAGACGTGAGGGAATGTGGGTTGGATGATAGACGTGAGGAGGGGGTAGCTAATAGGTGTATGTAGCGGTTATTAGCAATTAAACGCCATATTATTAAGGGATACTCATTTATCATTAATTTGTATATAACTGAAAATTATGTATATGAAATATAATTAAGTGATAACCTTTATAATAAGAGTAATTAATTTTATAATGTATAAATGGGTAAAAAAAATTTAAAACTATGTTCTAATTAAATATTTCACATAACATAGAATAGGACTGGGGATTATTCTTTTTCAGTGTCAAGTCATGGTAAGATTAAAGAATACGTTTTTAAAAAAGAAAAAAATTGTCCTCCCCTTTGTTGAAGTTATTGCTCCTTTGGTTACTCAAACAACCTTAAAGTTATAAATGGGGGTGATGATAATCTGAGCAACTTCCTCTTGTTAAAGAATACTTCATATAGGAAAATATCCTCACAAACCTAGTTGGTTAGCAGATAAAAGAGAACATACACTAAATTTATATATTATTAAAAGGAAGAAAGTTTGACATAGAATTGTGACAATTGTGGCGGAATAAGAAAATGACATGTGTTAGTTTTAGGACAAAAAATAATTATTAGGAGTAATAATTGGTTACATTAGTTAATGTTTAAAATTTAACAGTTTGTAAGTAGTGGTGTCGTAACCCTTGCAAAATAAAAACCACATTTTTTGGTAAGTGATTGTACTTTTTACGCAAAAATAAAACTAAAAAATTAATATTTAATTATTGGTCTTCATAGAGCACATTTTATTTAAAATAATTAAATTAAATATTTGATTTAATTAATAATATATACATACAACCTTTCTTGTGCATTGTGGCGGAGATGTGGTAAACAGAAACTGTACAAAGCCGGTGGAACCGTCAGGAAATTTAAGGGAGAATCTCTGGGAACGTGGACTCAATATCGGAAACATCGATCCATTATCAGTTGTGCAGTTATTTTTGCAGTTGTAACATTTTCAGAACTTTTTATATAATTCTAACCATTCTACCAACATATCTTTCTATTAGGATTTCAAAGTATAACGGAATTTCCTATTTGTGGAGCACTTCATTTCCTCTCTAAATTCTCAAAGTAGTCTGCTTTACATGCCAAACATGAACTTTTTCTGTTAGTAATTTCTAAATTCCCATTGAAGTGGACTACGCATCCAAGATGTTTGATGATATGCAAAACTTGAACTTCTTTTGTTGGTAATTTCTTGGGTGTTAGTTTTCGATTGTTTTGAATAATTTCTTGAGTGAACGTACCTAATTGCAAGGTATCAAAATTGCTGCTGTAAGATTAGGTCTCTTAATTTGTGCTCTATTGTTATTTGTTCCTGTAAGAATAACTTTATCAGTAGATCCAGTTCCAAAAAGGAAGAGACAAACAAGGAAAGATGAGGATGGATGATCTGCACAACTGCTTGTGTGACAATCTCTTATATTCAGAAGAGAAAGCGGAAGATGAACGAAAATGCACCTATTTTTTCAGTCAAGTTCTCTACTTTCTCTCCCTCTTTCTTTTAATCGTGTGTTTATTGAGTAGTCTTTATGATAATCATTAAAGTGGACTATGCACCCAAGATGTTTGATGATATGCCTGACTCATTCACCGAATGATATTTGAATAAGTACATAATGTAAAACATGTTTTAAATAGAGTTCTTCTCGCGAATGCATATCTTAAAACTGATCTTGAACTTTAAAATTGTATTTTGACTCATAGTGCAGTTCACTATGATTATTGCAAGTAATAATTCATTTCTTTGACACGTCTAGCTTTTCTCTTATTTTTTTGTAATATGACAAAAATTAATCAGCAATTAGGCCAAGCTAATCTCTAATATTTCAAATTTGGTTCTTCTTTGACATAGAGTAAAAACTAAAAAAAAATAGAGAAATGGACTTCGACGCTGCCATAACGGATGCTTTTCCATGAAGAAGTAAACTAAAGGTAACTGCCTTTTCCCTTTTTTTTTGTTAATGATACTTTGGCAGATTACTAGCGCTTTTTAATTGAAGACTTTTGCAGGTTTGATTTTAGTATCTTAGAGCTCAAGCATCCGGAACTACATTTAATAAAGTGGATTTATACAAACGTGCTTTTTACTATTAATTTTATACTAAATTGCTTACAAAAACTTATTCTTAAAATCTCTGTTTCTTTTTCAAGGAGCACAAAGTTATTTGACCCTATTGATATGGCATTCTCTTGGAGCTGCATGTGAGCTTTTATGGCATTCTGATCATATTATAGTTCAGCTTCGGGAAGCTTTTTTTTTTTTTTTTGCTTTATGAATGTGCACTTGATTTATATCATATTTTGAGCTACTTGTGGGAATTACTGAGGCTAACGATTATAGCGAATTCAAAATATCGACGCTACGAGTTTTGAATATGTTGGTCACCAAACTCAAAGGTTATCAACACGAAATCGAGAGAGTGAGGAACAATGCGTTTCACTTTGGGCTTCAGGGTGTTAAGAGCGATATTGTTGGATCTCATCCTCTTGAAGGTAAGGCAAGAGGGATGAAGCCGAACCATAGGTGTTTGCAATTATTTTCCTATCCGTTACCAAAAAATAATATCTTCCTCTTCATCTCCTCTTACCTCTTCATATAAATTATACTTGCCTTAATACATTGCTTTATTCAAGGTTTGTTCCTGCGACTTAGAATACATCACTCTTTGTTGCAGTGTTGTGGCTAATTTTTGAAATTTTATATGCTTAATGCAGGCCTATTGCGTACAAAGTTCAGTTGAAACCTAATCAATTGAAAGAAAATTACTATGCCATGGTAAATATTTTATCCATTTTCTTGTAATTCGTACATTGAGTCTATACTTCAACAATGAACAACATTTGATTAGCCAACAACTGAAGAGATATAAGGTTGATTATATATTAAAGATCAACCAGTAAATTCATTGTTAGATAACTTTGAAAAAAATATGAAGTAAAGATTAACCATTGAATATTTTTAAGATATAAATTTAAAAATAATTTTGTCATCCAATCCTGTCCATGAATTATTCAGTCTGAGGCGTTTGTTTCACTTCATTGAATCATTAAATTGTTAGATACTTCATTCAATAGAATACTACAAATTACAAAGGCCTAGGAGACTAGGACCACAACAATGTTAAATTGTTGGATGAAGCAAGTGATTTGGAGTAAAGAATTGGATATTTGTAAGTGTAAAATAATACTGCTATTGCTTCATTTTTCAAGTTTCGTTGTTTCTTCTATTCTTTATTTTAGATCTCTTTATATACTTATTATCATATTATCCTTAAAGTACACTTTGTTATTATAACTAAAATATACACGTTATTTGCTCAAATTTACACTTAAAGAGAAGTGCTTCTTTGGAAGACATGTCGTCTCAGTTGTTTTATCCAATTCAGAAAATTTTCATCTCTTAAGGGGATAATATTGATTCTTTTAGTACCCACTGAAGCTACTTTGGCCCTTAATATGGCATATATTACTAACCATTGAATAGTGACAAAGACGACATAATAACATATAATCATCAAAAAGAGTTAATAGGCGCTCGATAGTACATGGATAAATTTATGCGCAACATTCAGATTTACAGTTTCACATTCTTACTCAAGCCTTACGTTATTGTTGTGATGAGGGTAGTTTGTCGACACCATTTCTTGAGCCCTTTCCATTACTATATTTCCTGTAGAATGTTCTATTGCTCCACATCTCAATTGCAGCTATATGCTTTCCTTTAGTTATATGACTCTCAAAATCTTTTTTAGTAAGAAGGGTATCGCCCAAAACGATGTGAATTAAAGTATCTATATGAAAACTGGTCATAAACTCCTTACCTGTTGTAGATCCCCTTCCTTATGAATCAGTTTTTCGGGTACAAGAAATGAGTGCCCCTAATGGCTTTTCTCTCTTCGGTTACTGTCCTAATGGCTTTTCTCTCTTCGGTTACTGTTCTACTGGCCTTTTGTTTAGTGGTAAATTGTAACTACCTACCTTATGCAGAGGCAAACGGAAAGCAATCTACAAACACCTGAAATAGATTATTTAATGTCAACGGAATTTCTTTTATGCAGGGATGCCTTTTTTTTATGCACAGTATTTCAGTGTAGATAAAGATATTATCTTGAACAGATTGATGAGTTGAATCCTCTTAGTGGAGATTTTTTCAGCAACATTGATCCCAACATGTAGGAGTAACTAACTTTCTCAGGTGGAAATACATAGACAATATAGCTAGGTTGAGAAATGCTGAACATTTATAGGTTTCACCAGCTCTTTTTCTTTGATGTGATAATCACGCAACAAGAAAATCTAAAAGTATTTCTTAGTATCTATCATCATTTTTATTTGTTTTCTCTTTTTATTCGTTTCTACTTATGCCATGTTATTTAAGGTGCATGCAACTAATTATTGTTATTAAGAAACTGAAAGAAATATTCATAAAAAGATGGTTTTAGTTTTTAGTAGTTTAATTCAAGCTTGTCAGAGTAGTCAAAAGCCAAAAACAAAAGAAACGTTATGGCATGTCAGGTTTTTAGCCTCAAAACAAATGATGTGTGATTTTTTCGATTATGTTATTCGCAGGAAATAAGATTTGAATCAAATGTGATATGTGAATATATTGATAGGAAGCTGAGTTTTAGTGGCTGTCAGGTATGTGGAATTAATTATCAATATCCACTTTGTGGGTTCTTAAGCATTTACTTTTGTAGTTGATTTCCTTCCATAGTTATTTTTTTATTTCTTATGCTGGACTTTTTAGAATTTATTTTTGTACTATTACGGCTTTGCAGCTATAAGATGGGAATATTATTTACTTTCACAAATCTCTTTGAAAGCAAGGCAATAAACAATATCGCTTTCTAGAGGTTCCCTCAATTTTGGAGTACGTCCACAAGAATCATCGAGTTTGTGATGCATCCCCTTATTGTGATATTAGTCCCTAGAGTATTAAATACTGTATTTATTTGAAGAAAGGGTTCCTAACGAAACAGTAGCAATTACGTATACCATAGAAAATGTTAGTCTGTAAGAATATCACAATAAGAATATAAAATCTGCAATATGTCACACATGATTCATATACATCTGTTTTTATTATCTCTCCGTTCTTTTTTCTTTTGAAATGATCTGCGCATTCCGCGGGTATGTATACTAATTAGTCTAAAAGAGAGGGAGTATAAAACAATTCTGATCAAGGGAGGGAGTATAAAAGAATTCTCATCATGTTTGGTTTTCGTGAAAATATTAATCTTTTAGGATCAAATTTGACTGCATCTAGTTTAAATACAATAAAGGTAAAATCACATTGAACTCGATTTATCTCTACCCTGTAACGTGTGAGCTTGTTAATCAGCATCATGTAAAATCACATTTAACTCTAATTCTTTATTGTTGAATTAACTTAAATAGCGGTCTATTTAATTACTTAAACTTAAAATAATTGGCAGACGTATGATATATGTATAATCCACACACATCATCATCATCATACTTATAAGTAAGAAGCCCCAAAGTAAAAACTTGAATTACCAAAATACCTCTCAAAAATTGAATGACCATTATATCCTTCAAACAAACATTATTTCTATAACACTTTTGTACAAAAATATAAATGTATATTTTAATAAATTTATTAATCTACTAAACATCTTGTCACATACAATGCATATGAACATGAAAATACAATAAATATAGAATTACGTGGGAACATTAGTTTTTGCAATCTTAAATGATATATTAACTACTCTATTTATTTATTGTGATTATTATTGATGGGAAGTCATATAGTTTTCATATTTCAGTTTTGTTTCTTTCATCTTCTAGGGTAATAGTAGTGTAATATTTTTGCATAAATGATTTATTTCACTATAAAAATGCACATCAAATTGTCTAATCAGTATATTCATTTCTCTTGGTTCTATCAAAATTTTTCTTTTCCTCAGAAAATTCATTGGTTTTGTCGGATATCATTCTGCAACATATTTTAGGTTTAATTTTTGAATTCTTCTCTTTAGTTATTGTGTCTGATTCATGTTCCATTTTGGTATATTTTGTAGTGGTCCAAAAGCTGAAATTTAGATTGCTGCAATCTTTGGCATCCTTATTTGATTTTGTTACTATATTTTTGTTGTAAAATGATTGGTTGCCTTTTGTGTTATACTACTACTTTGAGTGGTGGTGATTTGTAATATTAACAAATAAGCGGGACACTTTGCAAACAGAAGAAGATTAGTGTAAAAATAAATTGAATTGTTGACTGTATAAAAAATTTATATAACGTGATACATTAATGGTAAATGTTTATAGTAATATCTACTTCTTTTTTTAGGATGCTTACAATTTTATAAATAGAACAGCACAAAGATTGTGCAGTTAGAAGTGAGAATATACATACTCCAAGAAAAAATAAAAGATAAGAATCCCCCTAAAACAAAAACTTACAGAGATTCTATGATAAAAAAAAGTACATGGATTTTTATGCTGTCAAGTATGGAGTTATAGGGCAATCTTTACACCAAAAAAGAAAAACAACTAAGCAGTTCATTTCTATTCTCTGGATGGAATTCCTTTCTCCCTCAAAAGGTTGAGAGATCCAATATACATAATAATTGTTAATATTGCACAAACATGATTGCAGATTCTAAAACTTATTAGCTTTCTTGTTAATTTATACTAATTAACATGGGATACACGTGCAACGTACGTGTTCGAGAACTAATATATATATATTGTATAATTTATATATACTTACTGGAAAAAGTAAATAATAAATTCGACCGGCTATTTATTTAATTTTTTTAAAATTTTCATATCATTTAACTCAATTTACCTCTCCGTTGTTAGACGCCCTCTAACAACCCGACACTCGTTTCTCTTTTTAGAATGGGTCACCCCCTTCCTTTCGAGATTCAAAAGTGGTCACTGCCTCACTGGTGTGGATAATTGGGCCACAGAATCTTTACTGGGTCCCCTGGTTGTAGCTTGACTAACAACAACAACAATAACATACCTAGTATAATTTCACAGGTGGGGTATGGGGAAGATAGTGTGTACGTAGACCTTACCCCTACCTGCAGAGGTAGAGATGTTGTTTCCAATAGACCCTCAACTCAAGAAAAAGTGGAAAGGAAGAAAAGGGAAGAAGAAGAAGAAGAAGAAGAAAGAAGAGGGAGACAAAAGACGATAACGAAAAAAAAGGAGAAAAAATAGCATCAGATAGTAACAATCAGGGAGCAACAATTTTCAGTAAAAGAGGAGAAAGAGAAGCATCAAATAGTAACAATCAGGGAGCAACAATTTTCAGTAGCAATTTTCAAAAACAATGGACGTGGTTGCTAAATACCATATATAATAACAAAATAAAAGGAAGTAACTTTCAACCAACAACAAGAATATTACTAATACTACTGATAAACCTAGGAGAAACTCACAACTATCTGTCAACCCACCACCTTAATCCTTGACCTCCACACCTTCCTATCGCTAGTCATGTCCTCGGTTAGGTGAAGCACCGACATGTCCTGCCTAATCACCTCTCCCCCATACTTCTTTGGCCTAACCCTGCCTTTTCTCAAGCCCGCCATGGTTAACCTCTCACACCTTCTGACCGGGGCATCTATGTCTCTCCTTCTCACATGCCCAAACTATCGCATCCTCGATTCCCGCAACTTAGCTTTTATGGATGCCACTCCCACCTTGTCCCTAATAACTTCATTCCTGATCTTGTCTTTTATGGTATGTCCACACATCCATCTCAACATTCCTATTTCAGCTACGCTCATCTTATGGATATGGGACTTCTTGACGGGCCAATATTCATCTCCATACAATATAGCCGGTCTAACCACCACCCTGTAGAATTTGCCCTTAAGTCTAGGCGGCATACTCTTATCGTATAACACTCCCGAAGCTAGCCATCATCTCATCCAACCCGCTCCAATGCGGTGAGTAACATCCTCGTCAATCTCCCTGTTGTTTTGGATTATAGACCCAAGATACTTGAAACTATCTCTTATGGGAATGACTTGAATATCAATCTTTACTTTCACTTCTTCTCCATGCCTCTCATCACTGAACTTGCACTCCAAGTATTCAGTTTTCGACCTACTCAACTTGAAACCTTTGGACTCCCGCGTCTGTCTCCAAACTTCCAACATAGTGTTAACACCCACTTGTGTCTCGTCAATCAGAACTATGTCGTCAGCAAATAACATACATCATGGCATCCTCCCTTGTATGTGTCGTGTCAACACATCCAATGTTAGGGCAAACAAAAACAGGCTAAAGGCTGATCCCTGATGCAACCCCATCTCCACAGGAAAATATTCCGAGTCTCCTCCCGTAGTACTCATCCGAGTCTTAGCACCTTCGTACATGTCCTTAATCACCCTAATGTACGCTACCGGGATGCCGCTAACCTTAAAACATCTCCATAGCACCTCCCTCGGGACTTTGTCATAAACCTTCTCAAGATCAATGAACACCATGTGCATGTCCTTTTTCCTCTCCCTATACTGCTCCACCAATCGTCTCACAAGGTGAATGGCTTCTATAGTTGACCGTCCTGGTATAAATACGAATTGGTTCTCAAAGATAGATACACCTGTCCTTACTCTCTTCTCCACCACCCTCTCCCAAACCTCCATAGTGTGATTCAGCAGCTTGATATCCCTATAGTTGTTGCAGTTCTGGATATCACTTTTATTTTTGTACAACGTAATCATCAAACTCCCTTGTATACATCCCTTGTATGTGTCATGTCAACACATCCAACGCTAGGGCAAACAAACACGAGCTACATCCCTTGTATATGTCGTGTCAACACATCCAACGCTAGGGCAAACAAAAACGGGCTAAGGGCTGATCCCTGATGCAACCCCATCTCCACAGAAAAATATTTCGAGTATCCTCCCACAGTACTCACCCGAGTCTTAGCACTTATACATGTCCTTAATCACCCTAATGTACGCTAGCGGGACGCCGCTAACCTACAAACATCTCCATAGCACCTCCCTCGGGACTTTGTCATAAACCTTCTCAAGGTCAATGAACACCATGTGCAAGTCTTTTTTCCTCTCCCTATACTGCTCCACCAATCGTCTCACAAGGTGAATGGCTTCTGTAGTTGACCATCCTAGTATAAATCCGAACTGGTTCTCAGAGATAGATACACCTGTCCTCACTCTCTTCTCCACCACCCTCTTCGAAACATCCATAATCTGACTCAGCAGCTTGATATCCATATAGTTATTGCAGTTCTGGATATCACTTTTATTTTTGTACAATGGAATCATCAAACTCCACCTCCAATCTCCGGGCATCTTCTTCGTCTTGAAAATGACGTTAAACAAGCTAGTAAGCCACTCCAAGCCTAGCCTAGCCTACCCGCTTCTTTCCAAAATTCCACCGGGATCTCGTTCGGCCCAGTTGCCTTACCCCTGCTCATCTTCCGTATTGCCACATCAACCTCCTCACACTTAATACGCCTACAAAACCCAAAATCTCTCCGACTCTCTGAGTTCTCCAACTCATCCAACACGATGTTCATATCCCCTTCCTCGTTCAAGAGTCTATGAAAGTACTCCTATCATCTACGTCTGATACACGCCTCTTCTACCAATACCTTACCGTCTTTATCTTTGATGCACCTCACTCGATCCAGGTCCCGAGCCTCCCTCTCCCTAATCTTGGCTAACTTGTACAACTTCGTATCCCCTCATTTGCCCCCAAAATCCTCATACAATCTTTCAAAAGCTGCAGTCTTAGCCGCCGTGACCGCGAGCTTCGCCTCTCTCCTTGCCTTCTTATAACACTCCCTATACGACCTCCGCTCTTCCTCGTTCGTGCTCCCTACTAGCTTCAAACACGCCGCTTTCTTAGCTTCCACTTTTCCTTAGACCTCCCCATTCCACCACCAGTCCCTTTATGGCCACCCAAGTAAGCCTTCGAGACCCCTAATACCTCCCTAACAGCTTCTCTAATGCAGTTCGCTGTCGTGGTCCACATAATTGAGAAATATATATTTTTAGTGAATAAAATATATATATATATATATATATATATATATATATATATATTA